CAGCCTCTAAAGGTAATGCCAGCCCCTCCACCAAAGGAGAATGCTTGGGTGAAGCGAAGTTCTAACCCTCCTGCTCGATCTCAGAGCTCAGACACAGAGCAGCAATCCCCTACAAGGTGAGTCAGCTTGGAAACAGCAGTTGATTAGCTGTAGGATCTTAAATATTGCAATGTTGTGAGGGAAAATGCCCTATGGGGAGTTGGCCTTAGATAGCGCCTTACACTGTCTTTGCTCTCTCAGTTCAGATTCAATGGTGTGCTGGAGCTGGCTCATAAGAGCCAGTAGTTCCATTTTCTGGAGTTTTGGTAGCTGGGTGGCATCACTTCGGTGACGTGAAATCTGCAAATACTGTAAATCAGAACCCACCGCTGCCACATTCTGGCAGTACGACCTTGGAAATCACTTCCCTGAATGTTAGGGCTCTTGTGGGACTGTGATGATTCTAAAAGGACTTGGCACTTAGTGTTCAAAGAATTGCTTTTGTTGTCTTTCTCATATTTTAATGTTCTATAACGTTAAGTATGTATTTTTTGGTTCTCTCTGTAAAGCTTACCGCACTTGGAGAATGATCATAAGTTTCTTATCTGTTTCTTCCCTAAGACAGCTGATGAATGTGATTACATGTTTTCCTTCTAGTGGTGGCGGGAAAGCCGTTCCAGCGCAGCCATCAGAGGAAGGACCAGCAAGGAAAGGTAAAGCCCAAGGGAAAGAGGCTTCTCACTTAGCGGTCTAAGTAAAAGCTTATGAGGAGTCGTGCGATAGTGAGCTACAGTGTATTGTGCACCCATTTTTGTGTTCAAGGGTCTTAGGCTGTCTGTCTTTTCTTGCCAGTAGAGGGCAGGAGTGGTCTCTTTGGAGAAAGCCTGGAGCCCTGCCCTTTCCTGGTAGAACCTTTCTTTGAAAGGGGAAAAAAAAGAACCGGAAGGAAATTAACATGCTCGGTCCAGATTAGAAATGTCACCATCTGTAGGGCCAAGGTCACTACACAGCATCATAATCCTTATTCCCAGTTGTCTTTTCATGATGGTGTAACCTACAGTGGAACTTTTTAGTGGATCTTGGTGGCGGGGTGGGGAGAAATGTGGGAAGAAGGGCTTAGGAAGGAAGTCTGGGTTGGAGTGAGGTTTAATTTCCCCCAGTACATATGAGCACATTTTTTTCCAGCTTAAGGGAAGCATAGGAGAGGGGGAGGAATTATTTTACTTGCCTTCGGTTTATTTTTGTATCTCCACTCAAGCAGATGAAAATAAAGTGGATGGGGTGAGTGTTCCAAAAGGCCAAAGTGGGAACTCCAGCCGTGGGCCAGGAGATGGAGGGAACAAAGACCACTGGAAGGAGTCAGATAGGTACGCATGTTCTCGCTCCTCGTTTGTCATCTTTCATCTGATGCTAGACACAACGTGTCTTTGTAATGAAGTGCTTTGTTCTCCAAACATTGTCAGATCTCCTACAGTGAACAAACTAAAGTCAACCAATAAATAGACAGTTACAATTCTAAGAATCTCTAGAAATAACAAAATGTCCAGGCAGCAAGGACTGTTGACTGGAGGTGCCTGCCGAGTGCCTCAAAACTGCTCGTGGGTGTTGGGAGGGTCCTCTCCTAAGACATGTGGTTTTGCATTCACATCTCTGCAGGAAAGATGGCAAAAAGGATCAAGACTCCCGATCTGCACCTGAGCCAAAGAAACCTGAAGAAAATCCAGCTTCCGTAAGTGTCAAAGGCGTGTTCGCAATTTCCCTTAACTTACTCTTGCTGTTGAACTCCCTTACATTTAGGGCTACAGACAGAGTAGTTGGAAATAAGGCACTGCTGCTTGTTTGAAATAGTGAAAGAAGCTTAGATTCGTGTTTTTCTCTGTTGCTACCTTTCACTACTTTCATCCCCTCTTCAAGATAAAAGGTGCTGTGTGACCTGGATAATAACACCGACACTAGCTACGCTCTAGTGGAAAATGCTAATGAGCAAGCAAGTGGGTGTGGTCTGGGCTATCATCCCCCATTTACCAAAGTATCACTTTCCTGTCTCTTGGATTTTGATTTAAGAATTCAAGGTCTCGCCAACAGGTGGCAGAATGGCTCAGCTTTAAAAAAAAAAAAAAAAAAAAGATTTCAAGGTCTTGGTCACTTTATCACTCTTGTCTATTATAGAAGTTCAGTTCTGCAAGCAAGTATGCTGCTCTCTCCGTTGATGGTGAAGATGAAAACGAGGGAGAAGATTACACCGAATAGACCTCTACGTCCTGTGCTTTCTCCTAGTCTCTCTCCACCCTGGAACATTTGAGAGCAAATCAAACCTCCATCCAGACAAGACAAAATAAAACTCACCATCTCCTGGAGACCTTTCTTAACTTTTTTTTAAAAAAGCAAACCGAAATGAAATGAAATGAAATGAAATGAAATTCTTTTGCATGCTGCTGCAGCCTTTAAAGTATTGAACTAACTGGAGAATCGCCATTGTAGCCAGAGAGAAAGAGACGTATTTTAACGGAAAAGTTGTGCATTTTTATGACACATGCGATTGCCTGTGTGATTAGTGCCTAGGGGCCACCATTTAGCAAAATGGCAATGACAGTGATGCAATGTCTGGAATCTGGTTGGGCAGTAGACAAGTATGAGGAAGAGATTTCTACCTTTAATTCTTATTGTCCTAATGTGGCATACATGAATCCTCTAACGTTATCTGGATAAATTCTCCATCCTTGGAAAGGTAGGTTTAGTCTCTGAAGCTGTTCTAGTCTCCAGGAGGCTGCCAGCCCCTCGTATTTAGTGCTGAGTTACAGGGGCCAGCCTAGGGGGAATTCCTTCATTTTTACCCCCCAGGGGGGTAGCTGGGAATGCATCTACAGGCCACTAAAGAAGAGGACTGCTTGGTGACCAAAATAAGTGGGAAAATCGTGGTTTGAAAAGGAGCTTTGGGGATGTGATGAATTATTTTGCGCCAGTAATAGGGGAAAATGGTATGACCTCCAATAAACATATGAATGGTTACTTCCTGGAGCAGGAAGCACTTTAGGGGTTGTGGGAATTCCCAAGTCTCTTATGTGTCCTGGTTTCACCCTTTCTTAAACACTGTACTTTCTGAAAGTTCAAATGTACCCATATTCTGTTGAAACCTTGAGGCTTTAAAAATTTAGACTCTAGTTGTCTTACGTTCGTCATGCTAGTCTTCCCTGGTACCTCCCTAAAAGCAGGTTCTGTTTAAGCCACATACCTAATCTAGGCATTCCGTATCAGTCTCTGGCAGCTGTCAAATGAGGAATCGCTGCTTTTCTCAAGCAAATTTTAGCTCCTTCATATTTTTTGACTCCTATTCTGCTCCTGCTCCTTTGACCCCTTTTACAACTCAGAAAACTCTAGAATGAATGTTCTTAGGTGGTGAGTGAGGGTGGTTAAATAAGGAACAGTTAAATTGGGATCCTTTCTTATGACCTTGATTGGGGTTTTTGTTTGGGTTTTTTTTTTGGTTTTTTTTTTTAAACAAGTTTCCTTTTCTCCACTGAAATCCCACACCAATGTTTGGATTTATAATGTGGCCTACACCAATGTGTGGTTTTGTTTTGTTTTTTTTAGCTTCCCTTGAGAGAATAAATGATAATGGAGAGAACTATTTAACAAGGTACTGGTTTCTCTTGCAACACAATAGCTTAACTTGCCTGCTTGTATGTGCACCTTTTATTGTCAGCTCATTAGATGGCATCCTTATGGGCAATATTGGTACCTGCAGAGAAATGACACCTTGGTCTCTTGTTTGCAAGCCCTTCTCCCATCGGTCCTAGGTTAGACTGTCCAGCCATGCAGGGGTGTTGGTTTATGAGTGCTGCAGCAGTGGGCATAATGAATCATTGACCCAGTGGACACAAAAGACGTACCAAGTGAAATTAAATAACTGACTTGAGAGGCTAGTAGCTAGGAAGTGGCTTTTAGAGAGGGATAGCCAAGGTTGTAAAGGTTTTGTTTTTTTTTTAACCATTTGTAGATGATGAAAAGGTAGGGATTGCCCTCTTCATGTCTACTTCCTAATAGTTGTATCCAAAAAAAAGCGTTTGTTTTTTTTCCCACTCCCCTACCCTGTCCCCCATTAAAACAGAAACAGGGATTTATGTCCCGTTCCTCAATACATGTAAAATTTGTACAAAAATATCTTCTATGAAAATGATTTGTAATCTGTAGACTTAATACCTGGGAGATGTCTTGAGATGTGAATCCCATCCTTTGGGTTGTGGGGTTTTTTTGTTTTCTCCAAATAAATCTGATCTTTAAAGTTCATTTTAATGTTGGAATTCTTTGGCAATGCACTCCATGCTCCCAGTGCTTTTCATTGGACTCCCCACTGACAGTCGGCTACTCCACCCTCCCATCTCTGAAGTTCTCTCCACATTGGGTACCATGTTGTGCAAAGAGGGCAGGGTTGCAAGCGGAACCTGTTATTGAGGCCTAAGAACTGGGAATTTCACATCAACTGCCCTCCAGCATTTTTGCCTGGTGTTCCATCTTTAATATCATTTGAACATATCTGCAGTCCATTTCCTATGCTGTTGATTTACTAAGATGAAGCAGGAGCTCGGGATAAACTTCCATGTCCTTGAGGCAATACCTCCATAAACCACCCTTCAGCAGTCTGGAGAGGTACCTCTGCTTTTCCAGGTTACATTGCACAGGCAGAATGGAATTCTGGTTGACAAGCTGGTCTGGGTTACAGCTGAGGCCACTTTTCTTAATCATTGCTTAAACTTGGTGGGAATTTTCCAAACATCAGGAACAGACTGTTCATTGTTGCACGGCAGGAAAGAGGTTAGGGACAGTGGCAGAGAATCCTTAAGGTCACAAGGGGGTGGAGCATAGAAAGCCCAGGAAACCAGTCAACAATTTTGGGGACTCCAAGCCAAAGAGGAAAGGGGGGTGGGGGAATGTGAAGGGAGATGGGAGCGTAGTTACACAACTGGCTTTCCTGGGCCAAATTGCAGCAACTGCCCTTGTAGTTTCTTGCCTGTGTATTGATCACTTAAAGGGATAAGAGGCTCAATGTGCAACCTATGCATGTGAGTTTAGGGAGGGAGGAAAAGCCCTGCCCAGGCAGCCAGGGGAACCTTCAAAGCAGTGCTTAACTGCAGCTGCTCCACTGCAGGAATCAGTCTCAGTCACATTCTCCAAGCTTTTGTTTCCAGCCACTTCCCTCGCTGTGCAATACTGAGGTCTGGGTGAATGATGATGGAAAGTGGAGAATTAAATTGGGAAAGGCTAATTTGGAGGTTCATGTTGGTTGAGCACAGAAAGCGTAGGGAGGAAGGGACTCCGTCTTATGTCCTAAGAGGGTAAAGGCAAGAGAAAGGTAGGTGCTGGTATGCCCCACATCCTTAGTCATTACAAGCATGTGTGCACACCCTCAGAAGCCCTATGACAAACATCCCAGCACTGGTCAACTTGGACACAACTTGCTGTAAATCTTAAATATTGAACAGACCAGAAGGTTGCGGGTATGGCATCCTACTTTACAAGGGTCAACTTAAGGTTGGTTGGGTTCCATCTGTATAACAGGCCACATAGCCTAATTTCTCCTAAACAGAATCAAGCACCAGGCTGTGGATCCCAAGACAGCAAGGATCCCAGTTTGTGCTGAGGGTGTCACCTCAAGTGCTAAGTGAGCTCACAGCATCTGGTTTCTCAAGAAGTGGGAGAGCTACACATCTGTTCCTGGGAAGCATTATTTCTCAAATAAAACCTTGTTTCTCAGCAACCATCATAGCCCCTAGGGCCACAAGTGAAGGGAGGACTCGCCCACCCTCACCCTCCCACCTCACCAAAAAGGAGTTTGGAAGAGGCAAGCTGTGCAGCTCCCCGCCCAGCTGCAGCAACCTCCCAGTTGGACAATACACACTCTGTCCTCAGCCAGATCCGCCTCTGGAGTCAGCTTGGCCCCTTCCCCTGCTCTTCCTGGTTCCCAACGCCCAACCCTCTACTGAAATTTTCCTGACCCAGTGCTCTTCCAACCCTCAATGCCCTTCTATAGTCACCCAACCTAAGAATCTCAGCGCACTTGGTCACAGGCATGGGATCAACCCAGACCATGAAAAAGGGGGTTCAGCCTTCGGTGCCAAGATGGGCTGCCCTCTGCATAGTCAAGGTAAGAAAACCTGCATGGAGGCTCAGAGGGTGTTCCTAAAATTCTTTGACCTTTACTAACATTATCCTGGCTTCTCTCCTCCCTTTCCCCTTCCTTTCTGAACCTCCCTGTCCTCAGGATGCCTGGCTAGCCCCATGTGCCACCCTTTTTTATTTCACTCTCAACCTCTCATCAGCTTCCTTTCCCCACTTCTCCCCACGTTGAGAGCAGGCATCAAGTCTGAGCTGGAAGTTGAGCTACCCATCTTGTGACCCTCTCAATTCCTTGGAACCTCAAAAGGGGTTCTTTAGGGGCAGCAACACCAGCTTGAGTGTGAGGCTCTAGCCCCCCCCCCCACTGTTCTGGGATCCAATCAAGTGCAGTTCTCTGAGTCCCCCCACCCCCCAGTCTCTCCCTTGGTATCTTGAGAGATTAGAACCATTAGCATGTATCCCAGGGCCCAGTCAAAGACATAATGAACTCTGAGAAGGACAACGTGTTAAAAGAACCAGCACACACTCCAAAGAAATGAACAAATTTTCATATCAAGTATCTTGATTACAGTATAATCAAATCTTGTCAAAATACATAGAATGACCTTCAGCCCTGTCCCTCCCCCATAGTCTTTGATCCCTGTTGCTCTCCTCCCAACTTCTTCCTCCCCAGCTCCATTCCAATCTCCCAGCCCCTCCTCCAGACCCCAGTGACTGCTCTAACTTCTGAGGCTGTCGACTAGACACCAGCTCAGCAAAGAGCAGTAAGATCAAGGCTCCCCAGTACCAGCCACATCTACCCCTCCCAAATGCCAGTCTCTGGGGGACCCACACTGTCACCATGCGCTGTTTCATAGCCTCTTCCCTGCTTCCAGATTGGACAGATTGAAATCAGGGAATCCGCCCCCTCATAATCAGAACCAGACTTCCCGCCTTTGCCAAAGCATGATGAGCACAGAAAGGATGGAGGGCCTTAGAGCTGAGGGCACTGGCTGCTTTGAGCAGGCATTGGGCACTGGCTCCTCAGAATCAACCCCCCCCCCTTCAGTTTTCATCATGGAAAATCCAGTGGGGAGGGGAAGGGAGGGAGAAAGTTTCAGGAAGTGCTCACTGATAAAGAACACTGGGGAATCTGGGAATGGGAAAAGATTCAGAGCTTCTAGAAATAACATCCCTTCCCTCTAACTTCCCCCTCCACCTTCCCCTCCAGGGTGGCACAATTCAAACCAGACCCATGGCCCATCAGCTGAATTCCAGGAAGTTCCTATTCCAGTGCTAAATCCAGACACTGCAAAAGAAGGGAATAAGGTTAGACCACAGAATGAACTTCCACGTTGATTGGAAAGCCTGGGACTTGGGTTGTGAGGAAGACTTTTTAATAGAAGTCTCCTAGGGAGGGGGAGTGACTGTCCAGCTCCAAAGCAGGGCGATGGATGCTTGGTGGTGATGATGGGGGTGGGGGGTGTCCATCAGGTATGAGTCCTTTGGGGAGAATAGGTGACACCTGAGAAGTCTCCCATGAGGCAGAGGACCAGGGAAGGGTGTCCAGAGACTTGGAACACAAGTGACACCAAGTATCTTCAACCGAAGCTAGTGACCCCCTGGGCAGGTGGCACTAGCCCCACCAGACTCAATCTCAAATCCACTCCTGTGGAGGGGCCCAGCTGAGAAGCCAAGGCAGTTCTCTGTACCCTGTTTCTAGTGTCTTCTGGACCTATGTCCACCTTTTCTTCTGAGTCCGTATGGCTCCTGTGGCTTTTTTGGCCTATGTCCCGCTGGGTCACTCTCTCCCCATCTCTGAGATTTTCCTGTCCCTGTGTCCTTGGTGTCCACCTTCCTCAAAATCTCACTCCCCATCTGTCTCTTTCCGTCTCCGAGAGTCTCTCGGCGTCTCTGCACTCCTTCTTCCTCTCAGCTCTTTATGAGCGGGGGTTCGCAGAAGGTGGGGAGAGAAGAGAGAGAGGAGGAGGGCGAGGGGCGGGAGCGGGCGGAAGGTGGGGATTGGAGCGGGGCAGGAGGGAGGAGAACAGCGCCGGAGGGAGGAGAGTGCGGCGCGGGAGCGGCGGGGCGGGAGGGAGCCCAGGA